ACATGTACAAGAAATTCAGTCACTTAGAAAGCTCTGAACTTATGAATATACTTAAACTAAGATTGTACTGACCAAGCATGACTGAGAATATTCAGGTGTATACTCATGAGTGCCTGAATTATCAGATTGTGAAAGAATCTAAGAAAGAGTTAGAATGTGAGAAAGTGTAATATCAGATGAAATATATAATACAATTATTTAAATAATGAGAAGTGAATCTCATAGATATATTTCTGTGAACATCAAATGAAAATCATTTAATAATCACTGCTATTGACTATGCTACTGACTGATCAGTTGTGAAAGCAGTTTCAGAAGTAACAGAGAAGATGATGATAAAGTGTCTATAAAATGAAATATATATCAACTATGAAATACTATATGAGATTCTAACTGATAATAATGTGAATCTTGTAGAAGAAGTGATGAGGCATTTTATAAGCCAGTTATAGACAAGACATCATAGAACAATGTCATATCACTTATGAACAAATGAGAAAGTGAAACACTGGAATGAAATCTTGAATAATATACTGATAAAATATCTAGTGAGTAAGTCTGCAAGACTATGAGATGAATGTCTCAGACAGGCACTGTTAATCACATGGATTTGACAGCATGCAGTCTTCAAGTGTTCATCATTCTACCTGTTATATCAATTGCATCCGCGCATTCTGAAGAATGCTTCAAAAAAGATAGAGAAGAGAACAGCAGTTGCAGATGCAGCAGAAACAACAGTTGTGAACACAACAGTCACAGACACAGAATCAAGATTGAAAGAGATCAGTCATATATATACAAAAGCTAATAAGTTACTCCTGAACTGAGTAATTCAATTAAAAAGCATATAAGACTCACTAGTTAAGAAATTGAGTCTCAAGATAAGATTATAAGTTCTTATACATAATGAGAGTTCTGAGAAGTTTCAATCTAGATGGTTTGAGTTATATAAAACACTTAAATCACATTCTCTGAGAACATATGCATTGAAAGAATCAGAGGAACAAGTCTTATATAACTTAATAAATGATTCATATCTTATGAAAGTAAAGATGCAAGACCTGAGTAGATTATAATTATTCACAGCACTATCATCAGTGTTAAAAAAGAAGAAACTTGTAATTAAAAAGTGTTACAAAGTAAGAGAAATCATAGATACTTACAAATCAGATGATCTCACTTATTCTGATCTTTTCAGAATTATAAGAAAAGAATGAGAAGAAATGAAGAAATCAGATAAATATCACACTTTAATAAGTAATAAGACTGTAGCTGATTGTACAATAATATACTGCAGACAGTGAGTGCAATGTGATAAAGAGCAGTCTCAGAGTAATAGACTTATATATAAGTCAGATCACAGAAGAAAAAGAAATTCAGAGTTGAATTTGACTGTTTACATCAGTTTAATTATGAAGATAACAGAGAATGAAGTATCTGAAACATTTATAAATGCATGAAATCAAGTCATCTCAATCTCTGAGAACACTCAGAGATCAGATAAGATTAGTTTCAATGAGCTGTTCACTGTAGTAGCCTGAGCAGATGAAGAGAGACAGTATAATATATGAGACAGAAATACAAGAGATGAAAGCTGCTGAACCTAGTCACTGAATGCTGTATTATATAGAGATTGTATAAGAGTAGTAACTAGCAGATAAAGAAAAAAGTATAAGAAAAGAGAAGAAATAATGAATTAATTATTAACTGTAAGAGTCAGCTGTAAAAGACAAATATTATTATATATATCTTATTCATTTTTATATGTTATATATTTAATCTATTTTCAACATCATATTATCTGAAAAATATCAAAAAATAAAGGAAATCTCAAAACTCAAGATCTGTAAGAAATTTAAGAGCTGCAAGCTACTCTTGTAATAATACTGCACACATCTTCAATTTCTCTATCACTTTGTATACAACATTAATATTGTTTGTTGCAAGATTGACTGAAATGTCAATATAGAAATGTATATATATATGTATAGAAAAATTGAAGAAGAGTATAAGACCTGCAGAATCAGAAGTCAAGACAGAGAAAATAAAGATGAAAGAAATGTAAGAAAAAAAGAGTGCAGAACTGAATGAATAATAGCAGAAGTCATCTGAGACTAAACACTTATAACTCAGTGTGTGCACAATCTTCTCTGCAGAGAAGGAAGAGAAAGTGACAGAAGAAGCTTAAGAGTGAGAGAGAGTAGTCTCAGCAGTATAATTATCTTTGATTAGAATGATCTCTGACACTGAAGAAACTAAGAACTATTGTTAACATACAAAACTGTAAAAATAAGAGTAACAATTATCAAATGAACATCTGCTGATCTTAGAATTGTATATATAATTACAACACACACAAGACTTCTCAGAAAGAGAGAGAGAAACATGAGAGAATACAGAAAGCAGAATACAGTATATAAATAGCTCATTCTCATGATAACATCTCAGACAAGGTGTATGAGTCTCACACTCATAGATGTAAAAGAGTATAACATCTATATTTCTGTTTCTGAAAACATGAATATCTTTTACTTACATCATAAAGTCAGATGATAGATGTCAGAGAATAGACTGATACAGATCTATCATTTCAAAAAAATTCATCAGAGTGAATATATCTGTAATATTGAATTTAACAGTTATGAAAAGTTTTTTAATATCTGTGAATATTATAACTTTATATATAATAAAATCTATAATAATTTCTTCTAAGAACAGAAAAATCAGCATCAGAACAAAAAGATGAAAAAGAAAAAGACTTATAATCTTAACACTATTAAGAATAGAGATGATTCTCTGATATAAATAAATGATTATTTCATTATAAATATTTAAAATAAATATAATAATCAGCATCTGTGACTGAGCTTCAGATAATTGTATTATATACAGTCTTTGTACAATAAATTGTTTTAGAAGTTAGTAAGAAGAGTGAGAGTGTATACACTGAGAAATGTGATTTATTAAGTCTATATAACATCTTCTTAAAACAGAGAGAGTTAATAACAAAAGCCGAGATGACAGAATCAGAGAGAGTAGAAGTAGTGAGAGTGAGAGTTACAGAAACAGAGATAGCAGAAGCAGGAGAATCAGACACAGAGACAGATGTAGAAGATTGAGAAGAGAAGACAGAGAAAGAAACAGAGAGAGCAGAGAGAAATATAAGAGACTCAGTCATACATAGTATGAACAATTTCTTCATTATTATATCTCTCAAGTTCTCAATCAGTGATTCAACATTGAGATTATAATCATCAATGAATATGAATCTGTCAACATGTAAAGATGCTATATAAATTAAAACAAATATATCAGTATCTGCAGCCATGTAAAATGATCAGAAAACATGATCAGAAAACATAATCAGATGCTCACTAAAGAGAGTTGAGAGCATATAAGAAGATGAAGAGAATATGTTATTTATAATAATATATTCTAATAATTGTTAGAAGATAAACAAGTTCTGACTACATTTCACAATGTGTTACACTTACTGCTAATGAATTGCTCAGTATAGACACTATAATAATACTTATTATGAGAATGAGAAGTCATTGTCAGAAACATGTACAATATGATAGATGAACAGATAGAAGATGTTGAACAGAAGAAGAGACAGAAATCTTGAATAAGATGATAATGTTCAATGATGACAATGATGAAGAAGATGATTAAAGAATGAAAAAAGTTAGTGAATGAAGTGATGTAATATAGTGAAAGTTTCTTTGTGAGAAATGTAATGAGAGACACTAAGCTGAAGGCTGTATGATCGCGAACACTCGCGAACACTAGCAGCATGCTAATTTCACATGAGACTAGGGCTTATGTCACAGTTATATAGGCATGACTGAATCTGATAAGAGAGAATGTGATTTGGAAGAATATATGACTGCTGAATAATAATGCAGCTGCTTCTGAACACACTTATGAATGTAAAGACACCCTAGCGGCCACTAATTAATTTAGATAATGTATATAAGAAGCCGGCGTACGCCTGTAATCATACGCTGGCTCAAGCAATCTTTGAATCACAGTTATTTAAGAAGCTGTATAAGTGAGCTTAACTATCTTGCTTAAACAGTGAGCTTATAGACTACAGAGTTATCATAAGAATACTACAGATACAGTACTTAGTATACTAAGAAAATTGTATGAGAAACACAGTAACTCTTGTATATATTTCAGTAAAAGAAAAAAATGAATTACTGACTTCTTTAATGAGAAGTCAGTATCTAGCTATTCTATATCAATAATGAGGAAATACTCTTCTCTTATTTTATAAGTAAGAATAGTCAGAGTAATATCTCAGCAGTGTCTTATTATTAAGAAAGAGTAATCTGCTAATCTTATATAAGAAGTGAGATTCTCATATTTATTAAGCAGATCTTTCTATAATATATTCAGATAATATTATAGAGTGATTAAAAACCAGTTTAAACAGTCTACAGAATGAATGAGATCATCTATATAAAAGTAATAAGTTATATGAAATTATAACAGAGTCTTAGTATAACTGAGAGTATAATAATACTCTTCTCTTTAAAAGTATAGTTTCAATACTTTCAAGATTATCAGATTGAGAGTTACCTTTGTTATATAATAACAGTTGTCAACTGATTGATAGTACATATACTATACATGATACAAAGAAATAGATGAGTTTTTCTACTGACTGTATAGATCTTTCTTTTCTCATCTTCATTTAAATTAAACATGTGATAAGTGAGTTTCTTATATATCAATTTAAAATGTGAAAAACATAGTTAATAAGTAACTTGAAGATCTTCTATCATATTTCATTCTATATATGAAATTCTCTGCAAAAGTGATGTGTTTTGAGAACAAAGTTAACAGTAGTAGCAGGATTTTTTGAAAAGATTCTCTCTTCTTATAACACAATTTTTTCCCTCTTTCTTATCTTTAATAATGAGTGCATAGAAGCATCATTCTTGTAAGACAATAAGAGACATATTCTGACATTTTCTAGTGATCAAATGTCTTCATGGTGCGGCTGCGGCCTCTGTAGCTGTCAAGAAAGCCAGGTTGAAGGTGAAGACAGCAGTGTCAATAAGCCGCGGGAGCACTGCTCTTATTATCATATCTCCTCCTTCTTCTACATCTCTTGCAGCTGTGGTGGTAGCAGCTGCATCTTGCAGTGAGATGTCATTTCTTCTGCTGATTAGTTTATCTATATCTGATTCTTCTTCTGCTTCTCTCACTGCCATCATGATGCTGTCCCCTCTCTCAGTTAACACAGTGGCATATGACCCTGTGTGATCATTCAGAGAGAACCTCAGAGAGAGCTTGATTTCAGAAATAGCAGCTCTGAGAAGCTCAATTCATAGTTTCTCTTTTATGATATATCTGAGCCCTGCTCAGAATGCTGCTGAGTTGAGTTCACAGAGTTCTGCAGTTTCTTTATCTTCTCTCTGTAAGAAGGCTTCAGTGCAGTCTCTGACTGATATTATTATATATCTATACTGCACTAAGCAGCTGAAGAAAGAGAGGATTTTATGCATCTATCTCTTCTCTTACTTCTGTTATTTCTGTTATATCTGTAATAATAACTTCTATCTCTCTGTAAGTATTATCTATTCTACAAGGAGATATTGTATCAGTTCTGATAAGAAACTCAGATACTCAAGCAGTACAGAGTAAGAGTCTTGAAGCTTTAAGTATTAATAAATTCTGTCAAGACTGAGAAGATCTCTCTTACTCATTTATAAAAGAAGATGAAAGTATAAATCTCTGAGATGAAAAAACATCTCAGAATAGCTGATCTTAAGAAGAGATTAGTTAATACTGCTATTAAAAGCACTATGAAGATAAATTACTAATTAAAGAGAATCTTACTTCAATTAAAGCAGATAACTAAGATGCTTTATAAATTAATAAGTTAATAACTTTATATATTTCTTATACTCTTCTGCAGTGCTGCAGTACTAACTTCTTATCACATAAAGATATCAGTATCAGAGACTTCAATAATAAAGAATAAGTTTAATGAGAATATAATTATTAATAAGTAGACTCTGATTCTTCTTTTTACTTTTTCAGTAAGCTATAGCTCTATTAGAATAGTAGCAGTCTGTAGATTAATAATATTACTCTTTATTAATTTTAACTATTTCTTTCTTTTCTTATTAACTGCTTCAGGAATTTTATACTTATATAGTCTTATTAAACTTCTAAATATTCTTTGAGAGAAAATAGAAGAAGAGTATTATAAAGTATATAAGATATAGCTTATTACTGTAAGATTATCTTTAAAAAATTTTTTTAAGAAAAAATAAGAAGTTTTAAACAGTATTTCTTACTTAATATCTCTGATATGTAATAGAGTAGTCTTTACTAGCTGTCTTATAGCTTACAATCTCTTTCTCAGTATTTTTTAAATACTTAAACAGTTTTTATAAATTCTCTGATAATGAATAATCTTCTTATTTAATAAGATATTAAAGCTTATTATAATATATTCATTTATTTAATATTTTCTTTATAGAATATTCAGTATCACTCTTAATCTTAATATTATTTAACTAAAGTGACTTCACTCTGAGACATTGTTTATAGAGCTCTAAATAGAAAATGTAAAAAATAGAATAAATTAATTTTAATTCTAAGAGTAACTTTAACTTATATATCTACTTACTTATTACTCTTATTATTAGAAAGGATTCTAGTTATCACTTATTAAGCTTCTTATACAGTCTTATTATCTTGATATTCTTTGCTGAAAGTTGTATTTAATTCTCTATTAAGAACTTCATCAAAAGATATTTTTAATTATAGTATTTTATCTACTACTTCTGAGTATAGTAAATGCTTTTCACTGTCTTTTTATAAATTTTATTTAAAAATTTCAATCTTACTTTTACTTCTAATACTAAGAGATACTCTTTTCTCTATATCTATTTAACATTCTGACTGTCTATTCTTCTCTTTAAAACATTATTTATAATGTCACTGAGTAATGAAGAATTATATTTATAATAAGTATAGAAAGAAAATATCTTTAAGATTATATTCTTTATATTATTATACATAAATTCAGTAGTTAGAAGATGTTTAAATTAATTATTCTAATAATATAAATAGAATATTTAAAGATGTTATTTTAATATCTAATTCTGATATTCAGTCTGATTATCTGTCTGTGAATAAAATACAGTACTGAGAAGACATCTTATTATAAGATAATAGTAAAAGACTGATGAGTATTTACTAATGAAGAGAAATTCTCAATCTGTTATTAATAATCTCAGAGTACTATAATTATAAATAATAATATCTAAAAACAGATCAGTTAATTCAGAGGCTTTAACCTTTTTATAAATAGAAATATATTTAGTCATCTTTATAAAGTAATTAATAATGATTAAAATTAAGTTATATTCTTTAACTCTTGTTAACTTCAGCAGATTAAGTATAAAATTCATTAATAGATTCTATTATAAGCTCTTTAAAATAGACAGTGATACTAACTCACTGTATTACTTATACTATAGAATCTTTATTCTTTAATAGATATTATAACTCTTAATGTACTCTTTAACATCTGTTCAGAGCTTGTTTTAAATATATTTATATTTTAGAAGCTTCTCAGTCTTCCTTAATCTGAAGTGTCTTATATAAGAATTATTATAATGAATTCTTAATAACTTCTGACACACTGCTCTGCTATAAGAGATGAAGACTGAACTATTCAGTAGTAGAAGTTCACATTCTTCTAGTTATCAGTGACTTGATTTCTTAGCAGTACTATCTCACTCAGAGTCTGTTTCTTTCAAGTTTAAACTAAATTCTTTCTTCTTCAACTTCTGAATTTAAGCAATAGTAGAGATATCTCTCTTCTATAACTTATTAATAAATTTCAAAAGTAGTTGAGTTAAAAGATTGTAGACTATTTTATTATTTATCAATTTAATAATAGTAAGATATGATATAAGAAGCTTATAATCTTCAGTGTTAGTTCTCTACAGAGATCTGAGTTTTCTTTCATCTTTTATACTGAGTTATATAGCTGTCTTATCAGCACTGTTTTCAAGCTTCAGAGAATCTTAATTCTCTACAGTTAACTTCTTCTGCAGTAATGACAGAGATTCTTTTATAGAATTCTTCTTCATATTAATAATATTATAATCAGGCTATTTAAATAGTGTGTTAATAAAATTAAGTCAATTTGAATAATATCAGATATAGAAATTATACTCTGAAAGCCGCTTCACTTATCTGACTTAATATTCTGTCAAGCTCTTTATTATTAAGAAGTAACACAGATTTATATAATCAGTGAGAACTTACAGTGAGTACTTACTACTCTGAAGATAATATTATCAGATCTTAAAGAATTTAATAATTACTAATATCTTTTAATTATAAGTATTATATCTTCTCTGTATAAGTAATAACTTCTTGAAGAAGAAGATCAGTGATCTTTATTCACAGTGTTTTATAAACTCTGTGAAAAAGCCTTCTCTTATAAATATTTTATTGTCTGTATTCTCAGAGATTATTATTCTCTAATTCTTTCAATATTGAAAGGCCTTCAGTGTTAACTATGAAAAGATTTCATGGATCTTATTTCTGAATACATCAGTTTTACACTGACTGAGTAAGTTGAGATTAAAGTAATTCAGTATTGTAATATCTATAAAAGCTTGTTTTAATTCTACAAATGCCTGTATAGTGTCTTGAGTGAGAGTAAATAATCTTATTTTTCTGTCTTTCACACTTCTCTTTAACAGATCTGTAAGAAGAGAAGTAATCTGTGAATATATATAGATAAATTATCTATAGAAATTCATAAATTCTAGAAATATCTTTATCTTATGATACATCTGCAGTGCTGATCAGTTCTTAATAGTGAAGACTCAGCTTCTGTTCATTAAAATACTGTTTATCTCAATAATATAATCTAAGAAATCAATCTTCTGCATGTAGAATGAGCATTTTTCAGTGTTTGTATAGAGTTAATACTGTCTTAAGTAACTTAATACTTCTCAAACATGAGTATCATGTTCTTTCTTCATTTTTAAGAAGATTAGAATATCATCTAAGTATACTATATAAGAGATGTTAACAAGGCCTCACAGTACCTCATTTATATAGATCTGAAAGATGACTGAAGTATTACAAAGAGTAAAAGATAAAACAAGATATCTAAAATTACTGTACTTAGTATGAAAAGCTGTTTTTTAAATGTTATCTTCATTAACTCTGATTCTATAATAGATATTCTGTATATTAATCTTTAAGAACATCTTTGCTTTAGATAATTAATTAATCATCTTGTTAATTAATAGTAATAAATGGTAATTCTTAATCATCATCTTATTAAGATCTCTGTAGTCTATACATAGATGTAATCTATTATTCTTCTTGAGTATAAAGAGTATAGACATCTCTGCTGAAGTTTTTAATAAGTGAATTCAGTTCTTTGATTACACTTTCTTAAGATATTTATACAGAACATTCAATTTCTTTACAGATAAGTTATAAAGAGACTCATACAGTACTGTTATACTGTCTTCAAGATGAATCTTATATTATATCTTAATATTAGAAAACTTTACTGCTTTTCTTTCTAAAAAGATATTCTTATAATCTGTAAAGAGATGTTGTATACATCTGTCTTTAATAATAGATACTGCTGCTAGTCTTGCAGTGAGAGTGATAACTTCTTCATCTATTTTCAAGTCTCAGTCATCTACTACATAGTACATTAACTCTATCTTTTTCTCAAGATTCTTTCAGTGAAACTCTTCAGATTTCTCTATTACTGTCTCTTTATTAGTGAGATAATACTGTCATATCTGAGTGACTTAGTCAATGAAAGAATTATTTTCTCTCAACTATAAAATATCTAGAATGATATTCTCATCTATGATATTAATAGTGTGAAGAAGCGGACTGCTCTTCTTAAAGATTTCTTCTAAGTCTGTGATTATATCCTTCACTTAAATTATACTAAAATAATAATACTTTATTTTATTAGTAAATTTCACATGATCTGACAGATCTATCTTCTTTTAACTCTTTATTAAAGAAAAGAAATAGAATATGAAGTTAGTATTCACTCTGAAGTTGAGTAGATATCTCACTAATATCTTCTTATTCAGAGTATGTATTGTGATTATAATATTAACTTAGAGATATAAGAATTATTAATTCTTTAGTTCTTTCTCTTCTTTATCTTTTATGAATATATTTATCAGAAGAGAAG